TGCGCCTGTTTGCTTTTGTACGAATCGGCTTCAGGAAGACAAGTACCACAATACTTCTACTGTCGGTTTTGAGGCCCCATTTAAGATGGAGAAAACAGACCCATTGGCCCCTAACAAGCATGTCATAAAGGCAATTCAAAGCAGTGTTTTACTGTTGTAAATTTGAACAAAGAAGACACAAACAATAGATTGCACAATTTATTGCCTGGCATATTTCGCTGTATCTCGTCAGGTGCATACTACAGTAACAATTACATAAATAAAGCAAATAAGTGAATCCTTTATAACTGAAGTACAATTTCAACAACGATCAAACACGACTGCCAGTTTTACCAGGGCCACTGTAAAGACAGAACCATCTCTTTCTGAATATAGAGTTCCGGGCGCAGGTGACGAATCACGGAAGCTTCGAGAAATCTTAGCGTTCTACCATTGATTGACGTATGAAGGATTTGAAATGCGTTGCATTTAGTCACCACATGTGCAGATTTTAGAAGATCGCGTGCTATTGCAAGGGGGGGGGGGGGGGGGGATCTTTGCGGCGAGTATTCTCAGTTTGGATATATTGTTTTAAAATTTATGCAATTGTTACTGTAGTATGCACTTGACAAGATACAGCGAAATATGTCAGGCAGTAAACTAGAACCCAACGTGCCAATTGCCTTTCGTGAGGGTGAGCACAGTGGTAGTGATGCTGGTGGGGGTGACAATGATGGCGTCGGCGACAGCGGTGGTGGTGGTAGTAGTGGTTGTAGGGGTAGTAGAAAAGGGAGAGGGGGAGGGGGCGCGATAAGAAAGAGGAGGAGGAGATGGACTTGGAGAATTAATGCAACACAAACTGACTACAAAGCTAAACGAAAGACAGTTGCGCACAAAAACATTAGCGTTTCTATCACATCTTTATACCAGCGAATAAAGCAACGCGAGCATAAACCAGAACAAACAACAAGGACACATAGAGCAGAAAGACATACTAAGTACAGGAAGGACTATTATTGGACGAAACATGAACGGAGAAAGAACGGAGACAAGAGAGATCCGGCACAAAGACTGTCACAGCTCGCGCTGTGTTAATTTGTATGTTCGCATCAGCTGGACTAAGTGTTGCCTCTGTTTACGATATCAGTTGATAGTCTGTAGCAAAAGGCCCGATACATACGAAGAGAATTTGTTTGTTTCTTTCTTGGGAGTGGAGGAGAGCTAATCAGCTTTCTTACAACTGTTAATGGGCGATTTTGGCTTTCGAGATGGTAAAGCTTTATTTACGTGCGCAGTAATAGCAATAGTAATAAAAATAATCACACACACACACACATATATATGATTCAGTTGATGTTTTCCGGTGTGTATGCGTCGTTATATGAATGTAAATGCACACACACACACACACACACACACACACACACACACACACACACACACACACACACACACACACACACACACACACACAATTTACATTTCATTTAAAAAACAAAATTCACAATGGATGAAAAGCATCACGTAGGGATTGAACGCGGCATCTTTCATTTATAAGGCGGATGTGATACCAACTACGCTATTCACTCACATGTTGACATGTTCTAAAAACATGACTAATATTGTAGACCGGCCAACAGACAAAAAAATGTCGCACCGTAAGACACTAGAGGAACACTCAACAACAGCAGTACACAGCAGCACACTTGCACCCCTTGAAATAATGGACTGTTAGATCAGCTGTGGAATTCCCACGGAATTTTGTGTTTGGGGTACGTTATAAATATTGTACCGTATATCGCTGTGGTATACTGTCTGCAGGCAGCTGATTTCAATAGCCGAACCATTTCACTTTGCGTTTCTACATAAGTTTTTTTTTTTTTTAGCAAACACACGAGGAGTTGTACATCACAACAACAAAAAGAAAAAAAAAATCACACGAGGAAACAGTATTCCGTTATATTTCTGTCCCTTCGTGAATAGTGTTTCTTATCATGGATAATAAGAAATTACCTATTGACTTTCCACAAATTATGCAATGTGCTGATGAAGGATCTCTAGCCAAAACATTCACTTGTCGTTTATATTTGTTACATTGTGAAGCTGTTTGGATTCACTCTTCGTTTGCTTTGATTTCTTTTCATGATGCAAATTGTGCAGTTCTGCGGCTTAGAGATTATGGTGCATTTTAAAAGTCGTGTCTTGACAATTTAAGACATATCTCAAAAACTTCTGTGCGGATCAACACGAATTTTTGCACTTGTGGCCTTATATTTCCCACCTCCTTATGCTTTTATAATTTATAATTACTTAGTTGCTGCTGTTTTTTTTTTTTTTTTTTTAAAGCGATGACATTCTTTGATCGTAGTTCCAAATAATTTGCGCACTCGTAACAAAAATAGAATATACACTAATTTCGTTAAAAATGCCTCCTTATAGTTGCATTTTCCCCGTCCAAGTGTGGGACGGTTTTAGTCGGGGGCCCTTTCATACGTAAAGGTTCAACAGGGTTTATGGGACGTGTGCCCAGTGATCCGCAACTGAATGGTGGCACTTTGTGTCACCGAGTTCTTGTCGCTCGTTATACGGTCCTGGTGGGGTTAAACGACAGACTTGTTAGAAATTCTATGGGGGTAATTTACTGACCCTATGGTTTTGAAAGGATTGTGTGGGGTGGAACGGAATCAAGGACTAGACTGCTCGCTTAATGTGGCGTAAAACGGCACGGCCACGGCAACATGAGGCTGATGGGGATGAGTAAGAAAAATAGTAAAGGACCCCCCCCCCCCCCCCCGCCTTCTGACGTATTGAGCATAAAGCGCTAGACCGATGTCTTATAAACAAATCGGCACTCGGTAGGTGGTGTGGTCAACATCACCCGGCCGCCTTTACTTTCCAGGACTTTTCCTGGTACTCATTTGAGGCTGGGTCGACTCGGGAGCCATGGTCACTTTTAAAGAAAAACAACGTCCGGCTGAGTCAGGACCTGAACCCACGACCTTCAGACCCGCAGTCGAGAGTCTAGCCGCTACACCACGGCGGCTCTCTGATGATGATATCAATAATCAAATCTTCTGTTTGACTGGTGCCAGAATATGGCTCAGGCCAGCCCCGCCCCTCCCTCGCCCTTACCCACTTACCCTCAGTAAGTTGGCCAAGAGTCTGGCCACACCATTCCTTAAACATTGTATAGAAATTCACCTCCAACAGAATTTGTTCATGCATTTCATATTATTTCATATGTATATATTAACCATTTACCACATTATTACTATTGTTATTATTATCATAAGATTACTAATAATATTATTGTTATTATTATTATAAAATTAATATTACTATTACTATTATTATTATTATTATTATTATTATTATTATTATTATTATTATTATTATTACAGCAAAGCCTTGTCACCTCGAATTCCATTGGGGAAAACAAATCAAGAAGTTGTTCATCTTAATCAAGTGTTCGTCTTAAATAACTTTACCTTAACGAGGTTTTGCACTGTATTATTTTTTATACTAGGGTTAGGCCCTTTAAGGCCCTCTCCCCCGTTTTTTGCCTAGAAAATATGTATGGCAATGTTTTCTCTGTGTCAGCGCACCCGCTTTGTTTACACTGTCTACATATTAAACATGAGTGTGTGTGGGGGAATGAATAAATATGTATTTGTGTGTGTTAAGTATGCATGTATGTATGTTTATATATATGAATGCCTGTCTTGTTGGTATGTAAGCTGTTCGAAGGCATAATTAAGCAACGTGCCCTTATGTGTTTATTATTATTATTATTATTTTAAAATTTACTTGTTATTCAGAAGGTGTATTATTTTAATACGATAGGAAATCAATTAGTAATTCACAAATGATTGTTAAATAGAAAAATAAAGATGAAAACTTAAAAACCGTTTTTTTTAAAACACATCCACTATCTCTTTATTTTTTTAAACATAATTCCACCAACATTATTGCACTTGGTCAGCTCTGTGGCTAAGTCAGTGCGAACGCTTCGTAATGCCGGGATGCCGGGTTCGATCCCAGCTGCGGGCCATGCGCCTTGCGTTGGTTTCGACAGTGGTATCAAAGAAGCCGACCGTCCAGTAAGCAATGGCAAATACTAGGCGTAAATTTGCCTAAAAAAACTACACAAAAGCGAGGGGCTGTTGGGGTTGGTTCTGCAACGTCCTGTAAAGGATACGCAACTAACCTTATTGCACTTGTCTCGACGTTTTATCTGTCCTCAAAAACTTGCTGCTCAGAGCTGTATGCTGTGTTTTATAAACCACATTTTCACTTAACATTAAATTTCTGCGACGTTCATGAAATGTCTCCCACTCTGTGGGTTTTCAGTGGACCAAACACCACGTGGACACGCTATTGCAGTTGCTATAGCGTCAACTGTTAACCGCCTGTCACCTATAAACATTTCCTCCACCCACTGCAAGGGTGCATCTGTTGCAATCTCAACAGGATGATTAGATCGGACTTCTTCTACAAATGCAGTGTCCTTGAGACAAATTCCTTAGTAAGCTATTCACCGCTTTACTTGAAAAACAGGAAGCATTTCCCTATGAATGTCTTTTGCAGACAGCCCCCTCCCCCAACACACACACACACACACACACACACACACACACACACAAACCGCACAGCAGCGCGTTGTTCTTTGAGGATACACTCCGTAAGTTCAGTCGCCATTTTGTTTCTATGTTGCGCATACGCATGCATCACCTAGCGCCACCTAACGAACAAAGATGAAAGTTTCATGTTGCTGTCTCCTAATGACACCTTCAGAAACTACCAACCTCATTTTCCTGAAACCTATAACCATTTGTGACCTACTTATTGACTTTCCCTCGTTAAACATCTTTATTGACAACATACAAATGGTGTGTGTAAGATGAATTTGGAATTGTCGAATTTAAGTCCTGCCTGCGTTCCTAGTTTGTGACCCATTCAAAATAGAGTTCGTTCGTTCGTTTATAAAAAATGAGTGTTCTATCTGGTATCTTCTCCTACAGGTTCACCCTGGAGATGTGATTATACAGCAAGGAGATGACGGAGACAATTTTTACGTCATCGATCAGTAAGTTACTTGTCTGTTGTAAAATGCCCCTCTGCTTCCGGTAGAACGTCACTGTTTGTTGTAAAACGTCAGTCATTGACAGTACTGTCGTCTATCTGTTTGCTGAAAAGCATCAACTGAAGATGCTTGTCTGCCATTTGCGTATTTTTATCTTTAGACGATTTGTTTTTAGAAGGATATTATTTTTATTTGTTCTTTGTTATGTTTTTGCTTGTTTTTTGTTTTATTGCTAGTTGTATTTTGGTGGTGTAAGTAGAATTGCCGCTCGTGTTTTAGATTAAATAGCCCCGTTCCATTCTTTGAAGGTAGTTTTATTTAGTTTGTTACTACGTCAGCCTTATCGTAAAGCAGCTGCCCCCCCCCCCCCCCCCCCTAGGTGCGACAGCAGCCAGTCTCCTGCCTAATCGTTACCCCGTACACCAGTAGTAAAAGTATTGAGACGAAAGGTAAAAATGTAAAGTCGGAAAATGTGAACCGCGTCATTGCACACGGTTATAAACCATAAGTGCTCTGCCACCAGTTCGAACAGCTGATAAGAAACTATCTGCCTGTGTCGCCGTCTGCACGTAACTCCGTAGCTACAGCCACGTTCCTCCATTTACCTCAGAGTGTCAACTCCGGTACTCATTTCCTAGAGGCTGGGTGAACCGCGGGAACCGCCCGGTTTCGAACACCGACCGTGGGCTGCAGCGCGTCGCAGCTGGATTTGAAAGCGAGTCTCGTATCGACTGCGCTAACGCGACGAAAGACTAAATGCAACAATTCGAAAGTAATTCTATAGCAGACGCAAAAGCCGCTGAGGTATAGTGACTAGACGTCATGGTTTAAAATCCTAACGGAGCCAAACTTTTTTTTTTCTTTCAAAAAATGACCTTGCCTCCGAGGTCGTCCCAGCCTCAAATTGTTATCAGGTAAAATACTGGGAAGTAAAGGCTTCTCTTGTAGGTGTGGAAAGCTAGGGAAGACTACCACATTATATGCCCTGAGAAACTCTACACGGAACACGAACATCCTACATAATCTGAACATCAAAGAAAACTGGCTCAAACATAGCATCCCGTACCGACAGCTGAAAAATTATGTCCATGTTAAATGACATGGTGCCTTGGAAAAGTTGATTGGCGGGTGTCTTTTCTGGAAAAAGTGTCAAAGTGGATTCAACACATCGCAGAAGCGCCTGCTATGAAAGCACAAAGGCTGAAGGAATCGACTACAGATGAGAGACTTTCTGGCGTGTCGTGATGTGAGCGACGTTCTGTAAAGAAATTGATGATTCACTCACACACGCATACGACACACATATATACACACCCTCACACATACACGCACAGATACGCACACCCACACTTTGGTTTACTTTGCTGAACTTGTGATCACAAGCGGACAGACACTAGACGGCAGCCCCACCCTCAGCGGCCTCTCCAGCCCCTTTACGCACATAAATACACGCATACGTACACATACAGAAACGCATAAATACACTCATAAATACACACCAAACACACACACGCGTGTGCGCTCGCTCGCTCAATCACACGCTCAAAGTATAAACACAGCAGAAGAAAATCGACAAACAAGATGTAACCAGCACACACACACACACACGGCTCAAGTTCAAGAACCCTCTGAGATCACTTGGCAAAATCGGAAGCTACACTTCAAAGTAATTACGCCTCCTTACTGATAACCTACTGTCTTCGCTCCACCCTTTCCTAGACTCTCTCTCTCTCTCTCTCTCTCTCTCTCTCTCTCTCTCTCTCTCTCTCTCTCTCTCTCTCTCTCCCATACACATACACACACACGTATACACACAGTCACACGCACACTTCAGACAGACAGTAGGTTATCTCTGACTTCTCATCTCAGCTGAAGAGCCATCCGCTCAAACACGTTGAAAGCAAACAAGGGACACTTACTAGAAGATCTGAATCCTCTCCAAACTTGTTTCAACTGGTTGCGCCAAAAGAGGCATTCTAGTTGAAGCTAATTCACCCATTATCTGCTCTCTTTGTTTCCTTTGAAATGTAAGATTTTCTTTTTCTTCTTCTTCTTCTTCTTTTCAGCATCATCATCATCTTCTTCTTCTTCTTCTTCTTCTTCTTCTTCTTCTTCTTCTTCTTCTTCTTCTTCTTCTTCTTCTTCTTCTTCTTCTTCTTCCCCCTCCCCCTCCTCCTCTTCTTCTTCTATTTCACTCTTAAAGGACTGCTGGTAAATTGCATTGTGGATCACAGCAAGGCTGCGGTATTTGCGCTTTTAAGCCCAAAACATTTGATTTCAGCACACCCCTCATTAATCAGGCTTATCAGGCGGCAGCTGGTAAATTCCCCTCACCCCGTTCCCCCTCCTCCCCAACCCATTTTTGGGGGGTCCTCGCTAGAACAAATTAAAAAAAAAAAAAAAAAGCAGAATCCCAGAAATCAATGCCTATAATTAATGTTTTGCCAAAACAAGAAATGTAAGACACACGTGTCTGTGTTTAGAGAAAAGGTTCAACTGAACTGCTGCGCTAGCGGATTTTTTGTGTTATAGGAAGAGTTTTAAGATACATGCTTGTCAGGCGCGCTGACATGGCGGAACATTTAGAAAGGAGGGGGGGGGGACCTCGACCCCTGCCGACATCCCTTCTAGCTTTTAACTTTTCTGGGCACAATTTGGGGTGAGAAAAAGGGGGGGGGGGGCGCTCAACTCCTGCCGACATCCATTCTAGCTTTCGACTTTTCTGGGCACAATTTGGAAGGGGGGGGGGGAAGAAAAAAAAAAGGGGGGGCGGGGGGAGGGGGTTAACCTAATCCGGTTGTATTAGGAAAATCTCCCCAGAGTTAGCCCCGCCCATTTACGTACTAGATCACTTTTTATTGACAGTTTGTGAGGCTGGTCAACTTTACGGAAGGTTACGGGTGTGTCCCGCTCTAATGTTTGCTTTCTGTGTTGTCTTTCATTTACGTTTTCATTCAGAGAAAGAGAATTCCTGTGACGTAGATTGCAGCACTCTCGTAGGCGGGTTGTATTAGTGCCAGTGCTCCATGTTTTTGGACCGTTAAAAGCGCTGGCATGCCAAAATATACAACATGCGATATCAGCGGTATCGCGGAACACCCCCGCAACCTAGTGCAAAGTTGGCGAGGCTTGGCAGCTACCAGTCAGAAGGGACCTAGTGTGTAAATAGGCAGGGCTAACTCTGTTTGGGGAGATTTGTGTAAGGTTTACCCCTAATCCCTAAATGAAAAAAAAAAAAAGTGGGGGTCCCTTAGTTCTCGCTACCTAACCACGCCTTTCTCGCCACATGGGCAAAAAAGAAAAAAGAAACAAGTCATCCGTCTTACCCAACCCCTCCTCATCACGTTACCTAGTTCTTAGGCAAATAATAAGGTTGGAAAAGGTCGGCGAGGTTGGGGGGAAAAGGGGGGGGGGATGGGGTATGGAGTCGTTTCAGGTCCTTGAGTGCTGCCACACACAATTAAAGGTCAGCCCCCCCCCCCCCCCTTCTTTATACATGTCACATTACTTAGAGTATAGTGTTATATTTATATGCCATTGAACACATTTACTATTTTGTTATTATTATTGGGGAGTCGCCGTTGCGTAGAGGCTAGACGTTCGTCAGCTGATTAGAAGGTCGGGAGTTCGCTCCCTGGCGGAGCGGGACTTTAAAAAAAAAAGAGTGGGTACCAGGTTCATTTATGGGAAGTGAATGCGGTCGGCGTAGTGCTGATCACTTTACCCACGATTGGTCTGTAAAAATATAGGTGTTGGCGTTAAATGTGGCCCTTTGTTCAAAGCATCATCCTCATTTTGCTGGTCCAGTAACCGCTGCCAGTGTGCCCGGGGATTCTGCCATCGTTTAAAACTTCGAGGGAGTACGCAACATCTCCGTTCGAAGCAGCTCTGTCACTTCCGAGACACGCTTGGCCAAGCTAAAAGGGTACAGGGTAAAACTAATGTCTCGCTCCTCAGATCCTGCCCATGTACACACCAGCTCACTTCTGATTGGTAGATCTTGAGCCACGTGGCGTGAGCACAAGGTTACGGATGTTTTCCGCAATGCCGTTGCTATCGCGTGTTGTATATTTCTGCACGCCAGCGCTTTAAACACTCCAAAAACATGGACAAACTGGGTCTAACACAACTTTCTTGGAGAGTGTGTTGCAACCTATGTCACAGGCATTCTCTTTCTCAGAATAGAAACGTAAATGCAAGACAACCCAGAAAGTAAACAACAGAGCGGTACACCCGTAATCTGCAGGAAAGTAGACCAGCCCAACAAACTTGTGAATGAAAGATGATCTATTTGTTTCGGGAGACAAACTTAAACCTAACCGGGGACAGTTCCGAGGGCAAATTGGAGGACCCCTGGGCAAAATAACGAGGAGAATTAACCGGACGGAGGATGATCCACGAGGGAAAACATCTGGAAGATAAGAACAGGAGAAACACGTTGGAACACAGAACAGGAAGGAGCGGACTGTCTCTGAGGAAAGGGGCATTTTAAGCCAAAGAGCTGACGCACTTTCCACAGTTGTAACCACTTAAATGGCATAAATAAATTAGACCATAAATGTAACCGGAGACTGTTGGCTGCTCGCTGCCAATAGCAGGTTGAAGGTGGTGGATTGATTTTTTTTAAAGAATGGAAATAGAAATATATCTAAGGGGAGCGCCGGAAAGTCTAGATCGGCCACCCACCCCACAATTTCTGCGTGCGTAATAAAAAGACAAAGCAGTCATTGTCACCGTGTATTGCAGTTCTCTGCATAAATGTTTGTTCATGTATATAATAATATTTCAAAAGTAATATTATACTTATTTAGGCGGCGTCCGTGTCTTAGGCATTGCGAGTCCGACTCGTAATTCCAACCTACCGCGATCGAAACCCACTGCTGGCGGCGTGGATTTTTATCATGGTATGGAGCGTCGCAGGTCGACCAAGCCTAAAATGAATAACAAGATGTATGTCCAAATTCCTCCCCACCCCCTTAGTGCCGATAGGTCTATAAAAATAT